CAGAGGTTCAGGTCATCGCCTTAGGATTAAGCTCTAGATTTAGAGAACCTGTATTGCAGATAACCTGTAGTCCTTGTATTTAGTTTAAGACATGGATTACTCTAGCTTGGAGTTTATAGAATAATTCTGTTCACAAATGTTCTAGTTACACAGTTCATTTTTATTTGAGAGATTATTCTCTAGCTAGCCTTTTCTTGCTTTTGTATGACAAGCTCAATGCTGTTAAGCTGAATAAAGCTGACGACTTCACATTATGGCAGCATGTCCGGAAAATTTTTGTGCCGAGCATTTGTAACTTTACATATATTACAATTTGATAGTTTTTACTTTCAATTATTTTCATGACGTTTGAATTATAAAGTGAGGACCTTGATTTTTTTTCTTCCTAAATATTCACCTCTACTGTGCAGGTTGCTCCTTATGAACGCCCTGCCCTTAGTAAGGGATATCTCTTCCCTGAGTGTAAGTCTTTTATTTATGTAAAAGTTTTCAACGAGAAAGTTATTGACTTGATCTTATCTTATCTTTTTCTTTTTTTTTTTGGGATATCACATTGCAACTTGACAAGTTTGTTTCTTCAGCTCCTGCCAGACTCCCAGGATTCCACGTCTGTGTTGGAAGTGGAGGAGAGAAACTTTTACCAGAGTGGTACAAAGAAAAAGGTAATTGTTGCTTTTTTACCTTCTGCTAACCCATGATGCATGAGTAAGCCATTTCTATAAATAACATTTCTTGCTTATTATATTTTTAACTCTTTAGTTAGGTTTCCTTGTTGACTATTCTTGGTAATTATCTTCTGATTGATAATCTACTTATATTTCAGGGATTGAACTGATCCTTAGCACGGAAATAGTTAAAGCAGATCTTGCTGCCAAGGCTCTCACTAGTGCCTCTGGTCAAACCTTCAAGTATCAAATTTTGATCATTGCAACGGGTTCCACTGTAAACTCACTGACTTACACATAACACTTATGCTGATCTGTCCTCATTTCAGATTTAACTTATGTCAGTTTTGTCGTTTTGCAGGTCATAAGATTGTCAGATTTTGGTGTACAAGGAGCTGACGCCAAAAACATTTTCTATTTGAGAGAGGTTGATGATGCCGACAAGCTTGTAGAAGCAATTAAAGCAAAGAAGAGTGGGAAGGCTGTGATTGTGGGAGGAGGATACATTGGTCTTGAACTTGGTGCAGCATTACAGATGAACAATCTTGATGTTACCATGGTCTACCCTGAGCCATGGTGCAGTAAGTATTAAAATAAAGAGGGTTCTTGAATTTCCATTTTATGCCCTCTGTAGACGTCTTTTTTTTTCTTTTGCCAAAGCCTTAGTTTTCTCTTGTGGTTTGGTTCCTGCAGTGCCCAGGCTTTTCACATCTGGTATAGCTGCCTTCTATGAAGGTTACTACAAAAACAAAGGAATCAATATAATTAAAGGAACAGTAGCAGTTGGTTTTACCTCAGATTCAAATGGAGAGGTTAGTAGCTTGTTTCAATGTTACCTTATGCCTCCTGCCTTGATGATGCTTTATAGAAAAACAATGTCATGAAGCTGATCTTTCAGGTGAAGCAAGTCAAACTCAAAGATGGCAGGGTCCTTGATGCCGACATTGTTGTTGTGGGTGTTGGAGGCAGACCCTTGATATCTTTATTTAAAGGACAGGTCGAAGAAGAGAAGGGAGGCATTAAGGTTAGTAAGGCTAATTTAGTTTTTTCATGATAGTTTTTCCCAACATCAACATTTTTACAATACTGGTAAAACTATATTTTTGTCTTAGGTAAAAATAAACTTTAATTTTGGTCCCTGGTTCCTAAAATTTACAAGTAATGTTATGTTAATACCTATATGGACAATGTTTCCCAGTTGTTCTTTAAACTAATAATGGCCTATCATTAAAATGAATTAAGTGAGACAATTGTAAAGTTCAAATAATGCCAAATTTAAAATTTGACAGACCATACAAAATTTAAAAACATTAGGGACCAAAATGAAAACGACAGTTAATATCTAGCCAAATTTCTTCTAGCATTGCAAAATTCATTTGCCTTTCCACCTGTTTCATTTTCATGTTCTTACAAAGAATGAAGATTCAATAAATTAGCACGAMATGAAAGAGACAATCGCTTGAAGAAAGAAACTTTTATTAGGAAAATATGAATATGGACACTCTTCGAGAGAAGACTCTCTCACACTTTCTAACTTTCCTCACTTTCTTCACTCACTTCACTTGATTTACCTCTGGGGACATCTCTCCTGTTTATAGAAGGGTCACTGTAGTCTAAGTAAATAGATTGTTCTAGATCTCTCTACAAAGTATCCTAGATACTTCTTAATGTATCCTTATCCAAAAGAATTCTCTAGAATCCTTTGGAGCCTAAGTTAAAATATTTCTAGAGTTTTTTCTTTAGATCCTTATTTACAATCTTCCAGCAATCTAGAAAGATTAATACTTCAGATATTTATTTACAATCTTCCAGAACAATCTAGAAAGACTAATCCATTTAAGAGAGACACGTAGAAACTCCAAGAAACTTCTAGATTGTTAGTGTTGTATTTTAACATCTATTATCTTCTTCTTCTAATTCCTCTAGCATGTGTAGATTTGACAGTCAAGTTTTATGAACTCATTCATTAGCTTATTGATGTCAGACTGATGGATTCTTCAAAACAAGCATTCCTGGCGTGTATGCTGTGGGAGACGTGGCTACTTACCCCTTGAAGCTATACAACGAGTTGAGAAGAGTTGAACACGTTGACCACGCTCGCAAATCTGCCGAGCAGGCTGTGAAGGTGTTTAACTTCCCTTGACAATTTTTATTTAACAATTGAGAAGATGAGAAGATCCCAATATATCGTTTAAGGAAAATACACAGATCCTTACTTGTGCTGACCATCATTTGAATATTGAAAAATAGAGAATATTTTTAAAAAATAATGAGTGGTCAAATATTCAATAATTATCAGCCGGCAAGGATCTAAAGTATTTTCCATCATTTAATTCCCCACGATATATATCTGACACTCGTTTCTTTTTCTTGATAGGCCATCAAGGCACAGGAAGAGGGCAAATCAACTGATGTGTATGACTACCTCCCATACTTCTATTCTCGCGCCTTCAATCTGTCATGGCAATTCTACGGCGATAACGTCGGTGAAACCATCCTATTTGGAGACAACAACCCGGAATCATCTCAACCCAAGTTCGGAACCTACTGGGTCAAAGATGGAAAAGTAGTTGGAGTTTTCTTGGAGGGTGGAAGCGCGGATGAATACAAGGCCATCGCCAAGCTTGCACGAGTCCAACCATCAGTTCAGAGCTTGGATCAGCTCGCCAAAGAAGGTCTCTCCTTCGCCTCCAAGGTCTAAATATTTGTTTAGTTCATGAATTATCAAAATAAATTTGAGTTGCCTGATCATGCTGCTTGTGTCATGTGATGTCCATAGATATTAAGTTTGGTTTTTGTTTCCTTTTGTTGTAGCTGGTAAATTCTGAATATGGTTTGGCTTACCACAGTATATGATCTCCTTATCAATTCAAGTTGCCAATAGTCCATGGTTTTAGTGTTCTTGTTACTGGAAAACCACCCTTTTTGTTTTTTCTCATTGCATATTATTGGCCTTGGCCCTGTCCTGCCAATTCTAAAGTAGGGTCAACCCAAAATTGTAAAATCTTAGACTAATTAATCAGGTCATATCGTCAACGTAGACTTTAGAATATATTTTTGTCACATCTTTCAATTTCTGATATTGACACTGTATACAGTAGTAGCAGTTAATATCTTGACATAAGGGTGGTTAAAACGTGTCCCTAAATTTTAACGATTTCGCCTAATTTTAAAAAATGTTTAATTTAACTCTAAAAACTTTAACTTTGTATTTAACAGGTCTCGCAAGTTTTAGACTACTTTTAATAGGTCCAAAATCTATTACATGTGATACATATTTTCATCTTTTATATTTAGTTTTCTTTTATCTTATATTGATTTAAGCTTGCAACAAGCTCGCCAATAGTTTTTTTAACTCCTTTTATCTTAGGTCTCTCTGGGAGAGAGAGAAAAACTATTAGGCACTATTTATTTTTTGGGAATATAGATGCTCGGTATTTTCAGATATTTGAAATTATTTAAATTACGTATTGTTCCAACAACACACTTATTAGTCATCGTATAATTTATATATTAAATTTATTATAATTTTAATTCATATAAAAAATTTACTTTTATTAATTTAATATTATATTTTTATGTCAATTTAGTCTATGTTGGGTGACTATTGAAAGAGTATAACAAATAAAAGATTGCAGGCTAGATTTGAATTAAAAATAAATTGAGATGTTATATCATCGACTAAAGTTTATTTTATATCTAGATGTAACAGTATAAATAAAATTGTATTCAGACATTTCAATGAATTAGTGCATATATTTATTTTTAAAACAAAGGAAAATCAATGAGAAATAAACATTATTGATGAAAAGAATATTATAGAATAAAAATGACGAGGGATAAAATTGTCAAAAAAAGATGATCTCAACACGGAAGTCTTAAAAATCTATGATGTTATAGGAAGACATCTAAAATTATTCGAATGCCTCCCGTATGAACATCCTAAGATGCTCAAGCATCTAAAAATGCTCGAATATTCAATATTCCTATCAAACAAACACGAGAATATGGATACCGTTGATTCATACTTTCTCTCTCTATCTTTTTGGTTGTTTTCCATCTATACATTCAGATCAATCAGATCTAGAAAATGTTGTCTCATGAAAACAAATTTACTTTGGGAATCTTAATCTTTGTGAGGAAAGAAGAGACTTAGGAGATACATGTGATTGTGGATAAGAAAGGTGATATTAGTATTTATTATATTTGATTATGATAATTGAAAAATGTGATGTTGATGGTCAAGTATTTTTTTTCTCCCTAAGAATCTTAGGGTGGTCCTACCTTTCACAACAAACAAAACAAAGAGACAAAAATCCCTCTCATGTCATTTTGGCCTACTAAAATGAAAGGACTCACCATTGCCACTTGTAACTTCTAAAATCAAAATTCCATTTAGTTTCTGTATTTTAGTTCATGACGATTTAGTCTTTATGTTTTCAAATTTATAATAATTTCGTTCTTTCTTATTTAAAATTTGTAATGTTTTAGTCTCTATGGTAGAAAATATTGTTAAAGTTTAATTGGATTTCTTATATATGTAGATTGATAAAATGATGATGTGATTGACAAAATGCGTTTAAAAACTATAATAAAAACTATTAAATTAGGGAAATTTAGGGAAAATCTACATTTCTAGACCAAGATTTGTCGATGTCGATGGAAATATCAATAAAATATCGTTATCGATGGATATTTCTGCAAAAGTTAGAAAAATTAAAAAATCGTAAAAAATATTTAAATGAACAAATAACATTTTCCTATGAGTTAAAACCAATTCATCTTAATATTATGTATATATTAGTGATATTTTGTTGATATTTTTCGTATTTTGTCGATTTTCTTGTACTATGATGAAAATGTCGATTTATACTTCATGTCGATGTCAAATCCATGAAAACATGGACATGTCGATGAAAATGTCGACGAAAGCACCATAACCAAAATATTTTTTAAGCTTTAAATTATCTTGAGATGATAAGAACAATAAATTTAGTCTACCATAAATGTGCCTTTGAAGAGAGTATTTATATGCAAATATGAAACCGGAGAAGAGAGGCCATCTAAGGATCGTTATTAGTAAGAGTAATACCTAATGAAACTTTAGGTTTATAGTGATTTTGAATGTATATATGCGGATATATAAGTGGACATATCTTATAACTCAACTTGTATTATGCGGATATGTGGATATATACTATAGTGATTTTGAATGTATATATGCGGATATATTAGTGGATATATACTATGATTTTGAATATATTTTTTGAATATGTGGATATATATTTATTGAGACTTCAAAAGATGTTTCGGTGATTTTGAATTGTCTTTGAAGATTGAGCACCAATGTGTGAGTGAATTAAGAGAAAATCAATCTTTTGGAAGGAGTAAATTAAGGTTTTGAAGGGGTGAATTAACGAATTTGGGTTGAAAATTAGCATGGAGCCCACAATAATTTAAGGATTATGATAATAATTTATGGAAATAAATATTTTATATTTAAAAAAACAAATAACTATAATAAATGTAAATGCAATAAATAAGTGTAAAATCGGAATTAAAATAAAATCCTACATGCAGAAGTGCAAAATTAGAAAAATTTAGACATTTATGTAAATAAGTTTCTAAAACAGCACTCCAAAACATTATCTCTTTCTATTTTAGTTCAATAAGATAAATAGTTGAACCAACGAACTTTGAAATGATGACAGTTAACGGTTAAGTTCAAATCAGCAGTTAAACCTAATAATTTTATTCCATCAGAGACTTAACACATGGATTTTGAACTAAGAATTCTATATTTTCATACCATGTTATACTTATATCAAGCCCTTGAGGAAAAAAGAAACCACAAAACATTTCTCAACACAAATACACTCATTAAACTAAAAAAGAAAGAAAAACTATATTTTTTCTTGATTACATCAATTATGTGCCAAACCCAATTATTTAAACTTATAATTTCATAAATTAATGAAAACAAGAGTCAACTACATAAATAATTTACAAGTTATCAATTATTTCATAGGTAAGGCAAATAAATAAATAAATAAAATAATTTTTGTTGGTTGTGCTATGCTAGATTAGGTTTCCATATCCAATTGATTGCAACAAAAAATACAAAATCAAAAGGATTATTTAATTTAGATGATAAGTAGTAATATATGCCTAAATAAAGAAGGAGAGTCTCCATCTCCCATTATAATAAAAACTTTTTTTTTTTGAGAAATAATAAAAACTATTAAATTAGGGAAATTTAGGGAAAATCTACCAATCTAAACCAAGGTTTTAAACGTCGATGTCGATGGAAATGTCGATATCTCAATTTCATGGAAATATCAATAAGATGTCGTTATTGATGGATATTTCTGTAAAAATTAGAAAATTTTAAAAAATCGTAAATGAACAAATAAACATTTTCCTATTTCTAAATGAGTTAAAACCAATTCATCTTAATATTATGTATATATTAGTGACATTTTGTTGATATTTTTCATATTTTGTCGATTTTCTTGTACTATGATGGAAATGTCGATGTCGAATCCATGAAAACATGGACATCTCGATGAAAATGTCGATATATCGACGAATATTTAAAACCATGTTCTAAACCCCTTTTTCGGCCCTCTTCCTTTCTTTCACCATTTTTCTCTTTTAACTCTAATTATTATTTTTATTTAAAAAATTATAAAAGTGATTATCTCTCTTATTTATTTTTATTATTTTTTCAAGTCAACCTTTTCATTTATATGGGGAAGAATTTAATATGAGACATCAAAATTTAAAGAATTTAATTGTCCCTCTCAATTGTATATAGCAATAGCATTACTTATTTTGGAAATTTTACNTTCAAATAGATTTTTTTCCCTTCACTTAGACTAAATTATTTAGCTTAAAAGTTTACATGTTTCATATAAAGATAAATCTATCATAACCCCCTCATGGCACCAAATCCAAAAATCCAAAGCATGATATTGACTTTAATATATTTAAATAACATAAAAGAAAATTCATTTTATGACAGCAAATCAACTCATCCACTATAAGATCAATCACATATCAATTACTTTATACAATATATAGTTATTTTTTTTTATAGAATTTAATACATGTAGTGGTTAAAACTTAGTTGTCCAATAAATAAATATATATATATATATAGGATTTAATATATGTAGTGGTTAAAACTAGTTGTTCAAACAAGGTAATTTATAAGCAATGCAATTTTTAAATATGTGTATGAAATAGAGTTGAATATTCAACGCAGATGAAATAAGAAAAAGGTTTACGTGTGGAAGATTTGCACGGAGACAAAAAAATACATCATTTTGTTACCTAAAAAATGTGAAAAATATTGCATAATATAAGATGGAAATTCACTTTTATGCGTGACATGAGAACCACGATGTTAATTTATTTCTAAAAAGAAGGAAGCAAATTATTGAGGGCCACATGTACTTTTGTTGAAAATTTTCATTCGTGGGCCGACACGTGTGGTATCAACTCAATTATTCGTATTCCAAATTTACATAATTTTAAAAGATTTAAAAATTAGATACAAATATCAACATCGTCTTATTATGATATTAGTAACATTTTTGTAAAAGTCATAAAATTGAACCCCATGCTTAAAAAGGGAAAAAAAATAGATGGTAGATTGAACTCAAATTGAGTTATTTTGATTTCTTTTAGATCATTTATTTAAAAGTCATGTTAAAAAAATGTAAAAGTGTTATTTCTAAATACTGGATTTAAATTAGTTCTTCAAGGTTATTTTTTGAAAAATTATACTACTTAAATAAATTCTTGACTATAATTATTTTCTGTAAAAAAAAAAAACCCCATCAAGACTATGATATGCCCCAAAAAGGGGTAAGTTTGGATTATCACTGTAACTATTTAAAATCTCAAAGGGTCTATTCGTAAATCATATTTAAAACTATTTTTTATATTTAGACATAAAAAATAGTTTTTTTCTTTTTAAAGGAGATTATTGGGTCGTTGGCTATATTACCTTTCTATCGTCTTATTATGATATTACTAATTTCTCACCCAATAATTAGTTTTTAGTTTAAATATTATTCTGGTCCTTACCATTTCAATTTTGGTTTATTTTTATATTTTTACTTTTAAAATGTCTATTTTAATATCTACATTTTAAGATCTTATTCATTTTAATTCATGTACTTTAAAAACGTCTGTTTTGATCCCTATACTTTTAAAAAGTGATCATTTTAGTCTTTCTTTTACAAAACTCTAACACGAATTTATACACAATGAAAACTTTAGATACAAATTTATGACTACATTTCAATAAATTTAATGAGTGAAATGCCATGCTAAAATTTTAATCGAAATAAATTAAATAAAAACAAAAATGAAAGGATTAAAATGATCTATTTTTAAAAGTACATATACAAAAACGAACATTTCGACAGTATATATTAAATATTCAAGAGGTTCAATCTCAAAACCAATTGATTACGAGAGGAGTAGCTCATGTTTATTATAAACCTTTGTTAAGTCCCTTTTATCTTTTCAACGTAGGATCCTTAACAATATAGAGTCTAAAATCAACAAAAAATTAAAAGTATAGAAATTGAAATAGATATCCTAGAAGTACAATAACTAAAATAAATCAAAATTATGCTGACTAAAATAGTATTTAAACTTTTCTTTTAATATTCTATCYGACAATTTTTCAAAATTGATAGTAGAAAATGGAAGACACTCTCTTTTTGAACCATTGAAAAAAAATGGGCCCTCTCTCTGCAATTGTCTTCGGTCCACGCCACGTGATCTTAATTCCCATTTTCTTTATTCATTATTTAGATTTTACAAATTACAATACCTTTACAATTTTAATTTATATTTTAATTTCAATTTAATCTTTTTACTTACTACATTTACAATTTATTAACATATGCATGGTGCAATATAATGGTAATAACTTCAAACTTATTAAGCACTATTGTGCATATATTTAAATCCCTTTGGCTAATAACTTCAATTGTTTTTAAATGCTAACACATTCCTAAACACAAATTATGGGAGGAAAAAAAGTTTTGAAACTTATGGAAACATATTTTTACTAAGTATAAAAACAAAAATAAAAAAATTACGTGAAACAACCGCTAATCATTTTTGGTCATGTACTGTCTGTCTGTAAATAAAATATCATTTTGAARCTTCTAGCTCGTGGTGTACCCATTCAATGAAACAAGAAGAGGTATGTCGTCATTACTTTCGAGGACCACTAGAAATATCTTTTTTAGCTCTAACATATTTTCTAAAAGTAATGTCATTTCAAAAATGTTAGACAATAATTTTGGACTATTTTCTCACATTGTGAAGRTAGAACGATAAATATTTAATTATCATAGATTGGTCCATTGGGAATCCATTGGTCCCAATGAACGTGAAGTATAAATTCTAAAATAATATTTAAACTTAAATAAAATATTAATATATATATATATATATATATATATATATATATATATATATATGAAAAGAAAAGGGAAGAAAAAAGTTATTAGCGTTTTCAAAAAGAAATTCAACTTCTTTGAACAAAATGAAAGATGAAGACTTTCGCTAATACCAACATATGGTCCACGCTCCACCCCCACGTGATCGTTCCCCTTCCTTTKYCAAACCCAAGTCATTTTTTATACAATATAATATTACCAATAAAAAATTATTATCTTTTATCGACTATATATTTTAGTCTACCAAAACGTGTATAGTTCAATGGTAATTGACATATATCTCCAATTAAGAAGTTGCAAGTTCGATCCCCACCCCCACGTGTTGTAGTAAAAAAAAAATTATATCCTGTTTCGTAAAAAAAAAGAAAGAAAAAGACTATATATTTTGGTCTCCCAAGAATTTAAAATTGCATTCTATTTTGACGAGCAAACATATGACTATTTAGAGGAGATAGAGTGAGTAAAACAGTACTCGTTATGAAATTGATCAGAACATTCCATTTATAAATTTTCAAAAAATCCACACGTAAATAAGAGGGAAAAGACGTAAAAGGTCATGAATTAGAGGCCATTTCGAGAGTAAAAAAGCTTAGAAAGTTGGAAAGTAAYGGGCATATACTTAGGCTGGAATGATCCGATGAATAATAGGATTTATTTTTTAATATTCATTGGTTAAAAGTGTCCACGTCASACGAAATTGACAATGAAACTAATTTTTTATGTCAAATCCATAGACAACGACAAAATATACCTATAAGAATCAAAATAAGATGAAAACCTTAAAATAAAATGAAGCATTTTTACTTTAAAAACACCACTTTCAAAAAGTATTTCAAACTCGTATACTTAGACACTCAATTTTCAATTTCTAACTTTAATATATATGTATAAATCTAATATAAGAATGGTCAAAATAGCGTAGCCTAGAATTAAACTAAGTATCAAAATTAAAATCCAAAATAAAATAAAATATAAGCCATTCATTAAACTTTATCCACAAATTATTATAAATAAAAATTCATATTTTATTATGTAACATAATTAAAAATTCATCCTATATGATATATTTTTTTTAATGGAATATAACATTAGCCTGAATTCAAACTTCTCATTATCATAAATATTCATTAATTTGTACTAAAAATATTATTTTTCTGTCTTAGTCTATTAAATTAGACCTGAGATCATCTCGTATAAATTTTGATTGATATAATCTAATAATAGTTTAATGTAACAACTACTATTATGTTAGATATTAAACATACATTCGTTCGAGTTCTAATAATTAACTAAATATAATGAGATTTCAAACCTATATTAAAAAGAAGTGAGGTCCTCAAACGTCTCATCTTAAAAAAAATGTAACCGCGTCGATAAACTATTGTACTATATTTTCAAATATTACATATTTGAAAGACACTTAAATTTGAGGTACATCTGGACTTAGACCTTTTGGACAATGAATGATTTATATATTCAACTATGCTCGAATTTGGTAGGYGTTTCTATATCAGTTCATATCAAATCTCCCTCCCGAATATGTTAAAAATATACAAATTTAACCTTCATGATCACTTGTGAGTCGGTCGTTATGAATTTTTTTTATCAAGCTTTAAATTTGTTGTAATATCACCTCCTCCTTATAAATAGTTTCACAATCTAACATACCAACCAAAATATTTATGATATTTGTTCAAATGTTTTTTTTTTTTTTAACATTTATAAAAAGGACAGGGTAGTATGAAAAGTTTTTTTTTAATTTAGCCTAAAAGAAATAGAAAAAAGTAAAAGAAAAAGAAAAAAAAGAGGAGAGAGAGAGAGAGGAGAGAGAATAGCATCTGCAGCCCACAGCCGTGAATGATCGGATTCGGAGCTCCATAAATACAACCTTCAGAAACTCTGTTTTCCATTTCCGATTCCAAATCTTCTCTCTACTCTCTCATTGAAAGAATTTCAGAATCCTCTGTTTCTGCTGACGGAATCCGTCAATGGAGGTTCAGACTCCGCCCCTTTCGACTCCTTTGGACCACACTCGTCCATTTTCTTACCCTGCCGCCGTATTCCCTCCACCGCCTTCTCCTCTCTCCGCCTCCGACGACTCTCCGGTCAGCGGAACCTCCGAATGCGGCGCCTTCGAAATGCCCTTCACTTYTGACGCCGACTCCCACGTGATCAACGGCCACGGCGAAGTCGGCGCTGACGTGGACTCGGCACGGCGATGCTCGGCGGTGAAGCTGCAGAAAGTGTACAGGGGCTACCGGACCCGCCGGAGACTGGCGGACTCCGCCGTCGTCGCCGAAGAGCTCTGGTAAAACTAGAACCCTCGTCGTTTAATTCGCCTGAAAATGGGGGGAAAAACAGAGGGATTTTGGATTTACAGATTGAAAATTCTTGCAGGTGGCTGGCTATAGACTACGCCAGGTTGAATCACAGTACGGTTTCGTTCTTCAATTTCTCGAAACCCGAAACGGCTGCTTCCCGGTGGAACCGAGTCACTTTGAATGCTTCAAAGGTACCATTTCTAGGCTTTTGTTTTTTGCTTCTTCCCATTTTCGGACTTGAAAAAAGACATCCTAATGGAAGAAGAATTTGGGGGGGTTTTTTGGCAGGTGGGGAAGGGGCTCTCGAAGGATGCCAAGGCTCAGAAACTGGCTTTTCAGCATTGGATCGAAGCTGTAAGTGGAAGATTTTCTTAGGAAAATCTGAAGAACAGAATTGGGTTCTGCTTTGATTCTGATTTTGATTTTGATTTTGGTCTGTTTCTTTCTCAGATTGATCCAAGACATCGATATGGGCATAGTTTGCATTTGTACTATGAAGAATGGTGTAAGGCAGATGCTGGTCAGCCATTTTTCTACTGGTAATTAAGCTAGTTTTGGCTTTTTTAAAGGATTACCTTAGAAAATTGATCAATAACTCACTAGAATTCGGATGGGATCTCTCTGCCTTGTTGCCTTGCAACTTTGCTTTAACAGAACTATTTAAACATCTTGCCTTATTGCTGAAACATGCATGAGAAGTCACAGTGAGAACAGAACCCCAGTTTTCGTTTCGGTTTCGGTTTCGGTTTCGGTTTCAGTTTCAGTTTCAGTTTAGGATTAATCTCCATTGAACTAGAATTTGCATCATTTCGAACAAGTTTTGCTTCATATCCTTGCAATTCGTGTCTCAGTTCTTTAACTTTTGGAACTTTTCAGGCTTGATATAGGAGATGGGAAAGATGTTGATCTTAAAGAATGTCCGAGATCGAAACTCCGACAGCAAATCATCAAGTATCTGGGGCCTGTATGTCGTTTTTTTTTATTCATATTTGACTTACTTCCATGTTAAAACTCATATGGATGGAAATGATTTTAGATGTGTAATCTGTGAAGTTTGTCATTCAGTATACTTTCATCCTAACGTGTCTCTGCTCTGTTTAACTTACTAATATCAGCAAGAGCGAGAACACTACGAATACGTTGTTGTCGATGGGAGAATTGTCCATAAACAAAGTAGAAACTTTCTTGACACAAAGGGAGGATCAAAAGGGACCAAGTGGATATTTGTAATGAGCACTTTTAAGAGGCTTTACGCTGGTGAGGTGAGGATTCTGCCCTCGAGACTTAGTTGTTGTCGTCATCTTGTTTACTCTTGCTCTTATTCAGTTTCTTGAGATGAAAATTCTACTTACGGTTTATCGGAGTAACGGAGTCACTGTCTATGTTTTTTCAGAAGAAGAAAGGAGCTTTCCACCACTCAAGTTTCTTGGCAGGAGGAACCACATTAGCTGCAGGGAGGCTAGAGGTAGAAGATGGAGTTCTTAAGGTAATCCTATGATCATTATAAAGTGTGAAAGTCGAAACAGAAGCAACGCTGTTTGGGTTTGGTTGGTGTCTGATTGTCTACAACATTTCATTCTCCGATGACACTGATTTTTTCAGGAAATCTCAGCTTATAGCGGACATTACAAGCCTACAGACGACCATCTCGATGGATTCTTAAAATTCCTCGAGGAAAACGGCGTGGTCCTTAAGGATGTCGAGGTACTTATGAAACCACTTATTCAGAGTCCTAATAATCAGCAAAACAAGCTGACAAACAACCCCGCCATGATCAACAAATTGCCTAAACTAAACTTTTGTTGTCCCATGTTCAGGTACATCGAGCAAACGAAGATTCTGAAGGCTATGACGATATCAAGGCGGTCGGAGGTCGAAACAAGGCCGATTTTCTGGGGAAGCTAGAAGCACTTGACATCAAAACAGTTGAGGCTTCCTCCATTGTAGCTCAGGTCTCCCAAGCTGGAATCRAAACAGAATACAAGAGGACCTTATCCGGTGGCCTGAAGAGCCCGAGAGCCGACGTCCCGAAAAAGGCGATACTGCAGAGAATCAACTCGAAGAAGACAGCAAACTCTTATCAATTAGGCCATCAACTTTCGCTCAAATGGACGACAGGAGCAGGTCCGAGAATAGGGTGTGTCGCTGACTACCCAGTCGAGCTACGAGTACAGGCAATGGAGCTCGTTAACCTATCGCCAAGGACTCCCCCAACTCCATCATACTCGAAAAGAATGGCAGGTTTTCCGACCCCAACGACTCCGACAACAAGTACCTTCAATGGTGATGATAGCTCCAACTTTTGAAACCAGCATTTGTATCCTTAAAAACACTCGAAACTTATGGTGCTATGAAAACTCTGTAAACCATATGGAACGTAATGTCTGAATTTTCATTCTGTTTTTGTCAACTGATCAAAATGTTGATGTAAAATCATTGGAGTATCATCTTAGTAACTAAAATTAAAGCTTTTGTTTGAGATAGATGGAGCAGTTCAGACAAATGGCCAAAATATCGATCCGTGTTTGAAACACGACATCCAATTCAAAGTTTTAGTCGATGAATTATATTTTAAAAGGATTTAATATAATTCATGATTTTTGTAGATAGAATAATTTTTATTTCCTTAGTTATTTTTACCCTCTTTAGTCTACTCTTTTTCTTTTATTTGTCCATGTGTTTTGACTATGCTAACCCAAACATTTTATCATAAAATTTGTGAATCAAACATCTTCTTATTATATTAAATTTTCTTGACTTTATTGTCATTTTCTCCTTTTCATTTAYCAATAAAAGTCAGATATTAAATTCGTCTAAACTACAAACTATTATTTATATTCTTGTACTCTCAGCAAATACTAAAATGAGATTAAAAGTCAACGGAAACTTAATTCAGTATTAATTGGTATTCGTTTTTTATCAAGAATTTATAAATTGGGAGGCCTCGTCTTTGTACCAAAAAAAAGAACAACTTCATTGAATGTAGATTATATAAATATTGATATTTATAATAAATGAAAATGAGAGGATGATATTGTAATTAACCCACCATGAAAAATGCTGAAAATTGGTAATTTCTGGTTCTCCAGCTGCCACGTTGTGGCTTTAACCTCTTTGTTCAGAGCGGGCTCCTTCTAACCTTTATCCAACAAAAATAAATATAATAATAATAATTCTTATTAAAACGAAAACAAAGAATGAATGCCACGTGGATATTATATTGACAAGCCACACACCGACGCTTTCACTGAGCGTGGCCTACAATTCTCGTACGGCGGACCCTGCCACGTGTAACCTTTCTACGAGCTCAGAATCTAACTCGTGGCCTACACTGATACATGGAGGCGAGTAAGCTTACGCCAACAACCCCACGCGCTCTCTCTCACTCACTCTTCTTCTTCTTCTTCTTCTTCTTTGTCCCTTATCTCTGATTTTCGAGCGATGGTTTTTTCTCCTGCTCCCATGGCTTCCACCAAGTGTTCCGACGGGTCCAGTTGTTCGGCCTTGAGGTCTTTTTCTTCGTCTTCTTGTTCCTCGTCTTACACGGCCATGGCCGCGGATCAGATGGTGAAGGTTGAGATTGAGGCGGCGGAGGCTCTGGCGGATTTGGCGGCTTTGGCAGTGAGAGAGAGTGGAGCTCAACCGTCGGACAAGAAATGGAGGACCAAACTTAAGGGGAAACGAGCCAGGAAGGATGTTAAGAGCGAGTCGCCGACCAATGACTTCCTGGACTCTCTACCGAGTCGTTCGGATCTGGACCGTCGGATTGAGGTTGTTCATGCTCTTTTTTATCGCGCTTGATTGCATTTTGCCCTTTCGATTTCTGACTCTCTAATGAAATTGAAAATGGGGATTTGGGGGTGGGGGGAGGTTCTGATCTTAGTGTCTGTAGTTGGCGAGGGAAATTTCGCCGTGGTTTTAAGAAATCGAGTGATGTTTATGTATTAGCCTTGGCATTGTATGCGAAAAATAGTATGCTGCACTACATTTCGCTCGTTTGGTTCGGTTTTCAAAATTTAGAAGACTTCTGAAGCAAAACCGTGGAATGTGAAGCTATTTGTTTTTACATTCATTGTATATCCTTGAAGTGTGTTTACCTGATGCCTGCATTTCTATCCCTAATTAGATTCTAAGGAATTGAACTGGTATTCAAAATTGCTGATCCTCATCCCAGAAGTTTGGAGCTTATGTTTTGGAGCAGAATTAAGAATGAGGGGATTTTTGTGTTGGATTCTTACACAAAAAGTGGGCTATTACGCCAGAGCGAGCAGCGGTAATTGGCACACATCTTCAACCAAGAGGGTGTGAGTTCGAACCCACCCCATATGTTGTACTTAAATAAGGACGTGGGCTATTGCAGGATTAAGTGACACTCTTTTCTAACTCAGGAAAGCACTTCTTTAGGAGTTAACAGGTTTGGAGAAGCAATGTTCTCCACAGTTGTGGGGACATTTACCTTTCAAGTTTGTCTTCAAAGATAATACTTATACTCTTCAAATCATGGGTGACTAGACTTGAACAGTTGAGCTTTTGGCTCGTCTTTCCTGCAAATTCATTTGTTTTTTCCCATTGGGTCTGGATTGTCAAACTGCTTAACTGAGTAAAATTGTATTACTATGCTGCCCATATATAGTGTTTGACTAAAAACTAAAAGCATTGATACGAAGTTACATTACTTCTGCAGGCTTTGACAAAATACTTTTGTTTCTAGCAGGATAGAGGGGTGGTAAGTCAGCAGCCATCAGAAAAGGAATGTACAAATCAATCGCGCTCCGATTGCGAAACAACGAGAAAGATGTTAAAGACGGAGAAGGAGGTCGAATTATCTAAAGTGAGTCCTAAATGTACTACAAGCTACCCATTATTTGGCTGCAGGAAGTCGAGGCGTAATCTAACTGAGGTTATGCTTGCTAACTGCCTCCCTCATGTAATTATCCTATTTTTTCAACCATTTTCATTACTGGCTTACTTCTTCAGGCTGAAAAGGAAGAAAGGAGAGTACGTAGAATTTTAGCAAACAGAGAGTCTGCCCGGCAAACAATTCGACGTAGGCAGGTTCTGAGAATTTCTCTTCAAGATGCGTTTCTTTGGTTTTATAGATCAGATTATGTATCATATGTTCAACGTGTCTAGCACATTATTGTGAGCTTTCATCATGCAAACTTCTGAGATGAAGGTTGTTGAAAATCCTTCTTTCTGGTTTTCATTATCCTTGATTGTAATGTCTATATCTTGCTCTAAACCATCTGTGGATGTCTTACTTGTACACTCACAGTAGACAGGAGTTTTTGAGGCTACATACCCAAAATAAAATAAAATTATAAAAATGATAATTAATATAAATGCCCCCTAAAATTGATCATTTTTTCCAGCTTGATTGTTATAGGGTTGAAAGTTATTTTTATGATTAACCCACACCATACTCGTATTGTCAATAAAATAGAATCAACTTCTTCACAATCCAACTTTAATACTGAGTAGTAACAAGTTCGAGGGAGACTAATCCTTACTTGGGCTAGGGAAAGAAAATGCCAAGTGTTTTTTTTTTTTTTTGTTAGACATCATCAAGAAAGGGTTAACCATGTCAGTGAAGTGTAGTGTTATATATTTCATCTATTAAAAAGAAAGTAAAATTTTTCAAGCAGAGCTAGATATAAAAATATAAAATCATTCTGAGAATCTTGGCTTTCCTCCTATCAAAATTTCTACAAGTTAACTGGTTGATGGGACATCTTTGGAGTATTATACTTTGTGATAACCTAAGATTTAAGATAATCAGTACTAAAATGGAACTGTTAACATCAGAAGTAATTAGAGAGTTGGTGTTACACCGTTATGTTATTGAATTTTCTCTACATGTGATAATTGTCTATTTTGGTTGGTTGTTATGCAGGCTCTGTGCGAGGAGTTAACCAAAAAGGCTGCTGATTTAGCATGGGAAAATGAAAATTTGAAGAGGGTAGGCATTCACCAACACCACCCCCCCAACACATTACTGAACTTTTCTATTGTCATAACCTTTATTTTATCTTCATCTTGTGATCTTTCAACCAATGAAGGAGAAGGAGTTGGCCCTGAAAGAGTACCACTCTCTGGAGACTACTAACAAGGAATTAAAGGAACAGGTAGGATGGGGTTGCATTTAAGAAATGTATGGTCATGGTCTTTCAAAATCTTCCGAAGATTCACTTGGCTTGTTTGTGTCTAGATGGCTCAAGCAGTAAAGCCCAAGGTGGAGGAAATCCCAGGAAACAATAGATCATCTCATCTCCAGATACCTCCTTTACCCACCAACTACCCTCTTTTTTTGTACGGTCGCCCTCCATTTGCGTCGTATTTCTGGCCCTCTAGTCCTTATCAACATGAACTACCCAACGTCGTTGTCATTCCGTCAAGTATTCATTTGCCAACCAATAGTAATGTTTCTGACTCTTCCCATGTACATGAAAACTTTACGAACAGCAATGGCCCGAGTACACCCTTTTGTTTACTACCTTGTTCGTGGTTGTTACCTCATCATGACCGTAGGAATCAACAGGGTCCTCAAGTCTCGTGTTCCACGGGAAATAATCAAGAGGATATTTGTTTGAATTCCCAAAATAGTTGTCATACTTCAAAGGTGGCTGTGCGTGCAGAAAGCAGACATTCTTCTTTGCCTTCAACTGAAGAAAAAAAGGAAGCAACTGATTCAACCGAAGCTTTGAACCCCAAGAATCATATTCAGAACCCAGTTGGGGTAGCTGTGGGGGGATTTGAGACTGACGCAAAAGCTCAAGTTAGGAGAATGATCTCTCCTGTGAGATTTAAATGTATCGAATCCACATCTGCTGTCAAGCAAGACAATCGGAGCAAAGACGATCACGGTCTGTCAACAAGAGCTTGTGCTGACTTCTGTGTTTTTCCAGAAAAGAAGCATGAAGCAGAGAGTGTCTCCAGTAAGAAAACCATAGATGCAATGGTTGCAGCCGAGGCAAGGAGGAGGAGAAAAGAACTAACAAAGTTAAAGAATCTTCATGGCCGTCAATGCCACATGCATTCTTGATCTATATGGCCAAAAGGTCGCTGACTGTTCGTCCTCGCCTCATCTGTGTATTTCACTGGCTTTTGATGATAGAGGCAAGCCACCGGTAACCGAAGTTGTAGCTTTTTTTTGAGGCGTTCTCTGTGCCTTTGTTGCCAAGATCAGAGCGTCGAGATCTCGCCAGTGACGGGAATCGAGGCGTTTTCTTTTTTGGTGTCTGTTCTGATGAACTTACTAACAAATGAGATAGGTGCTGAGGAAGAGATGCTGATTAACTCCCAAGAGCTTTGAGCTGGGATTTGGAAGGCCAGCAAAAAAGGAAATGAGATTGTAAGAATTTTGTATTAAAATCTTCTATGGCTACTTCAATAACCCTTCTTTGGGTTGGCTACAATTCTTCTTCTTCATTAAAGTGAAGTATAGGAGATGTGCCATTTACTTTGTTATAAAGCAGAGAACAAATAAAAGATGTGAAAAGCCAAATTGAAAATCTCAATGTTTTCCTTCAAGCTTGGGTTCTTTAATTTTGAAGTTTTATTTTTATTTTTAACTTTTTAGAATTCACACATTTGAGGATTAAATATAGTTTTTGGTTCTTGAATTTTCATCCAATTTCTAACTGGCTTTTTTGTCTTTATTTTGATTTTGGAACTCTATCAAATTTATATTTTAGTTCCAACTTTAATTTTGTTTTAGGTTTGCTTTTATCTCTCGACAAGGGAGGGAATTCGAATTCGAACTCATGATCTTTGGATTCGTGATAGATATAATTTATATCGTTTTATGTTGACATATGAATGTGAAATATTCCCTCTATTAAAAAGGTAGAGAAATGATTTTGGATATGATGAGTTTATTTAACTCTTATAGAATTAATGATTGATTAGTTGATCTAAAAAATTGTGGATAATTTATTCATTGGTTCATAAGAAATAAGAATAAGGAGTAAATTAATAAAAAAAAATTATCTCGATAAGAAAAGCTTCGCTTTATTACAATGTATAAAAATAAAATAACAATTGCTTCGCTTTATTACAATGTATAAAAATAAAATAACATAAATAAAATTGAACTCTGGAGTTAGAAAAATATTTCTTTTAAACCTTTCTTGACCATATTCGACCAGAAAAATAACATATATTATGATAGGTTTGATTAGAAAATAGAACTACCATCCAAATAATAGAAAATTAAATAAAAGTTAAAAGTATCAAAACGGAATAAAAAAAACATTAACAATTATTATCTTGGAAAATAGATAACAAACCAAAAGAATAATGACCTAACCAACTAATCTCTCTAATTATTCCGCAAAAAAAAATTAATAATAATAAATCTCTCTAAGACCTAGAGCAACTAAAAAGGAGGAGAAAAACTAATTGCAAAGAAAATTTAAATAAAATTAAACTGAGAAAAAGAAAACAAAAGAAACTAAATCTTAAACATCACAATCTGGGTTCTAACATTATGCTTAGAATCGTTCCACTCGAGCGACGCCGCCAGAAGCCTGCTCTCCGCCGCCACCGGACCTCTCACCGCCACCTTAAACGACCGCTTCTCGTACGGCCGATCGAACTTCAGAACCTCCGGCACCACTCTCACCGCCACCCCCGCCGGCGACTTCACCTTCGCCCTGTACGTCGACGGCCCGAAACCGACGTGGGTCACCGTCCGGTGGAACACGGCTGCGACGGAGGTCGCGTCGGCGTCCAGCGGCGCGTACATGGTGGGGTAGTTGAGGGCGTCGGAGCCGGTCGCCGGAGGGACGCCGGAGCAGTTGAAGGAGGCATCGCCGACGAGCAGGGCCAGGGCGGTGCCGTCGTACCGCCTTGTGGAGCAGAGGAAGCTGACGTAATTGGTTACAGAGATGTCGTAGATGAGGCCCGGGTGGATGGCTTTCGCCGGATTTATCTGGCCGGCGCCGATTCCGAGTTCGTCGAACTCGTCCCCTGTTTTCACCGGCGTCGCTGCAAATTTTTGGATTAACTTTTGAACATTATTGAGTAGCGTTAACGTTGATTAAACTACGAATGAATCCAAAAATTGTTTTCAGTTATTTGATTGACTCATTGTTTCGTTTGTAACGTAACACTCCCCCTTGAATAAATTAATTTTTTACTATATATTATTTATAAAATTTTAGCATACTCATACTTTTATGAGTGAAATATAAGAAATGGAACTGTTTTTAACCTTTGACTTGAAAATTTGTAACGTAAGTGAAAATCATAATAAATATTGGGGAGGAAATAATAATATAAGAGTTAGGAAGAAAAAACTTTACTCTTCAAAACTAACCAGGAAGATTAACTCCGTCATTTTTAACACTCTTAAAAATTTCATAACTAAAAGAGATAATTGTAAAAATAAAAAAAAATTACAAAGAAATATAACAATGTAGGAGTTTGACTCAAAGGAACTTCATCTTGTTAACCTTATTAAATATTTGACAACTAAGAAAGATAAATGTAAAAATTAAAAAAAAAATTGTCAAATATTTAATGATATTAATGAGAAAGTTCCTCCTTGATTTCAAAGAACCAAGTTTTTTTCAATCTTTTACTTCGAATAACTAAAGAAAATATCTCGACCTTTCTCTTCGTCTCAGGCCGGATCTTCTCTATTGAAAGATCTCCTATATGGATAATACACATTCCAGTTAATCGAGCCTAATTCTAATTGTTTTGTTCCAAACCAAACCACAGGGCGGTTCGCTCTATTTAGATATTCACAACCAAGAAGGACTGAATTCTCTTTCGGGTAGGTCCCAATTCCAAAAGGAGAAGGAAGGTTGGAATGCCAACAGGCGCTTATTATTCAAATCACCCGACCCTATATTATGTATAGTACCCATTCAAATCACCGATTGGCTTTGGGCCTTTCCTGCGCAGCTTAGGTGGAGGGCGAAGAAGGCCCCCTTCGGGGGGGCCCGAGCCATCTGAGATACCACTCTGGAAGAGCTAGAATTCTAACCTTATGTCAGGACCTACGGGGGCTCTTTTACCTTGGAAAATCATAGAGTTATCTCACGAAGAGTTAGCCGCACCCACAAATGATATATTGGCATTCCAGCCTTCCTTCTCCTTTCAAGGCCTACTCGAAAGAGAATCCAGTATTGTATCAATAATCTACCCTTGTTTAATTCCTGTTGAAGCATATACTTGGGTGGGAGTAGGGCGGACGATCTCAAAGCAAACTCCCCATTCATGAGATCGAGARGATCGCCAAGATTTCGTGATCCGCTGCCCAACTTATTTGATACGATATCAAAAACTTAGTTGATAGATTGGATAAATTCGATTTATTCATGGACATTAAATGAGTAGAAATATTATTTTAAAGCGAGAGATATAATATAATCAAAGAGGCGGTGGCGTACCGGTGGTCATGAGGGCGGACTTGAGGGCGGCGGGGGACCATTTGGGGTGGAAGGTCTTGAGGTAGGCGGCGGCGGCGGCGGCGTGAGGGCAGGACATGGAGGTTCCTGAAAGAATGTTGAAAACGGAGTGGCGGTTGTCCGGAATTGAAGCCATTTTCGAGAACGCCGCTAATATGTTCAGTCCCGGCGCTGTAACGTCCGGCTGCGTTTTTTTTTAAAAATAATTTCCCATTTTCCACATCAGCATCCACCAACCAATAAATATAGTTTTAAAAATTAAGGTAAAATATCTCCCAGTTTAGACTCGGTTTCTAGAATCTGGTCACTACATTGACTATATAGCTTCTAGATTTGCATAATTGAAAACACTCCACCCTCGCCAGATACAAACTCCTCTTTGACACACATGTAAAATATCTCCAAGTTTAACTAGTCTAAAAATGCACCACCTTCAGGGGATCCAAACTCCTTTGACACAACCCGAAACTTCTAAATCTAACGAAAAAGGTTTGTGTGTTTCAATTCAATTTGAAGAAGAAACAGATGTAGAAATAGAAACCACTCCCGAAACGAAGGGGACTAAACAGGAACAAGAGGGCACACCATCAAAATATAAAAAGACCTGTTTATGAAATTTAGGATGGAAATAAAGAAAATTCGAAATTAAAAATAGATAAAAAAAGGAAGTTAAAAAAAATTATAGGTTTAGTTCCTAACCAATCAGATCTACTTGAATGTAGAGTGGTATRTCTATGATAAAAGTTTGAAACTTTTTTTTCCTAAAGGTTTAATGGAGAATTTTTAAAAATTAAGAGATGAAATTAAGAATTACCTCAAATATTAGGGTTCATTTAGTAAATATATATATATATTTACCTTGAGGATATTAGGAGCTAGAGTCTGGGGTCCTCTAGAAGAAAAAGAGGCCAAGAAAGGAGCATCCATTTTGTAAGTAGTTGTCTTATAGATCACAGCTTGAGGGTTCCTGTCCACATCATCATCTTAATTAATTACAAAATATTTTCTTAAATTACTATTTTAAGTACTCAATTTGGTGTTATAATTTTAAAGATTTTATTATAATTTCTATGCTCATTGAAATAATTCATATAGATAATGAATTGTCAAAGTTTTATTAGCACATACTTTGTGGAGTTCATGTATGTCTCAACCTTGCCTCCATCTTCCATGGAGAGGTAGGAGGAGGGAATGGGAGTGGCCATCGCGACATCGGTGGTTCCGAGAAGATTCCCGATCATCCCCGCACCTTCCAAGTCTTCGATAGTAGACTCTTGGGAGTAAGGTCCTAAACAATACACTATCTTCCCCTTCACCTTTTCTCTGTCTAGAGACCCGTAATCGCACTCGCTATATCATTTATAATAAAATTAAATTAAAATAATAAAAAGATTATTAAACGAGGGTTTAGGGTTTAGATCTTGAAGTAACTCGGTTGCATACCTTGCATCTAGATCAGTGTCGGGTGTAGCTGCCATTGTTCCACTAATAAGAGGGTACATCTTCTTCTTCGGTGAAAATGTGTCTATTGTTATCCCCTAGTTTTGAAAGACAAACAAAAGTTAAACGCGGTTGAAATGGTGCCTGAAAGAATTTCACATTTAGCTAAATTTAAGGATCAAGTTGATGAAATTAGAAATTTGAGTTAATTTTACTAAATTTGGAGGTAATATTGAAGGGTTTCTCATTTGTAATAAACTCCCAAAATTGGAAACTAGCAAAATCTGATTTCTTGTTCCTATTTCCCATTGTTTTATAATTTTTATCATTTTTTAAGGATTTTCTATTTCCCCTATTGAAATGAATGAATTTTGAAGAATTTTTGTGTTTTCATTTTTGGTAAAATTAGTAATGCAGGTAGCAAAATCTCAAACAAAAGTAATGTTATTTTTTAAGTACAGTTCGATAAATTTGAAAATTGTTATATCTTTTATTTTTTATTTTTTAAAAATTAAACCTATAAACATTGTTTATTTTGTTATCTACTCCATTAAAAAGTCAAAAATTGAAAACTGTGGAAAGCATTTTCTAAAAATTTATATTTTGTAATTTAATTAAAATTTTAAATATATTTTTAAGAGAAGGCGAAAAAAATAACGGAAAAGCTAGCATTATATTAATAAAAAAAAGGGAAAAAGAAAAGACAACTAAAAACTAAAAACAAAATATTCTTTCTTAATAAAAGAAACACTATCACGAGTTTTTTTTTAAATAAATAAATAAGAACACTATTACATGATTTATTGTCTTTTATTTGAAAGAAATATTTTCAAAATTATATTATAAATATTGAAAAAGTAAATATAATATAATAATAATATTGTACCGTATATCTAATTTCAAAAACCTTAAAGAGAAGTTCACTCAAAATAGGATTTTAAAAAATGTCAAAACATTTATTTTTTTTAAATAAAACGTAATTTTGTCTTTTATTATTATACTATACATTACAATTAAAAGAAAAGGAAAGTTTAGGAGATTTCATCTCAAGTTTATATTCTTACCATTTTCTTATCTAATATATAATTTTACTCCAAAAATTGATGGGTGGAATATGGTAAGAATATAAGTTCCCTATAGGATATATATATATATATATATATATATATATATATATAATTAATTGAAAAAATAAAAAATAAAAAACTTACAGATAA